GGGGGGGGGGAGGGCTCTTCAAATCTGTCAGACAAAAAAGAACAATCAAGGATGGCATGGTGTGCTGCTCAGTGGAGAAGGTGAGCTGGTAACGGTAGATGAGAGGAAGGCAGAGTTGCTCAATGCCTACTTTGCTTCAGTCTTCTCACAAAAAATAACAGGTGACCAGACGACCAGCAAAGTTATCACAGACAATCAAGGGGAAAGGAGGCAGATCAGGACAAGTAAAGAACACGTCAGATCTTCTGACCAATCTGAATGAATTCAAATCAGCGGGGCCAGATGCTATTCACCTCCAGGTACTGAACGAATTAGCTGAAGAACTCTCAGAGCCACTGGCAACGATATTTACAAGCTCATGGCTGACAGGAGAGGTCCCAGAAGCCTGGAGAAGGCTAACGTAGGGCCCATCTTTAAAAGAAGGGGAACAGGAGGAGCCGGGAACAATCGACCAGTCAGCCTGACATCGATACCTGAGAAGCTACTAGAGCCATGCACAGAACATTCAATTTGCAAATACCGGGAGGATGGAGGGTGATCACTAGCAGCCAGCATGGATTTACCTAGAACACATCATGCCAAACCAGCTGGATTTCTTTCTTGGACAGGGTAACTGGTTTGGTGGCTGGGGGAATGCAGTGGACATAGTATACCTGGACTTCAGCAAGTCTTTTGACACAGTCCCAGGTGACATTCTGATAGCTAAACTGGAGAAATGTGGGCTCGACAGAACTACTACTAAGTAGATACATAACTGGTTAAACAACCACAAACAAAGATTAGCTATTAATGGAATGATGTCAGGAGGTCTCAAGTGGGATTCCACAGGGATCTGTTCTGGGTCCAGTGTTTAACATCTTTATTAATGACCTGGATGTAGGAAGAGAGAGCATCCTGATCAAATTTTCAGATGACACAAAGCTAGGGCGGGTTGCCAACACTTAGGAGGATAGAGCTAAAATTCAGAGGGATCTTGATTAACTGGAGAAGCTGGGCTATAGACAACACAATGAAATTCAATAAAGACAAATGTGAGGTGCTTCATGTAGGGAAGAGAAACCAAGTGCGCAAATACAGAATGGGGGACAACTGGCTGGGCAGCAGCACTGCGGGGAAGGATGTGGGAGCTGTGGTGGATCACAACCTCCACATGAGTCAGCAATGCAATGCTGTTGCAAAAAAGGCAAATGCAATTTTCAATTGGATTAACAGAGGCATAGCATGCAAGTCACAGGAAGTGATAGTATCGCTCTATTCAGCGCTGCTAGGCTGGAGTACTGTGTCCAGTTTTGGTCATCACTGTATAGAAAGGATGTAGAGAAACTGGAAAGGATCCAGAGGCAAGCGACAAAGATGATCAAAGGATGGAATGCAGCTATATGAGCAAAGGCTGAAGGAACTGGGTATGTTTAGTCTGGATAAGAGGAGATTAAGGAGGACATGACAGTGGTCTTCAGATAGTTAAAAGGCTGCCATAAGAAAGAGAAAAGGGGACAGGACAAGACACCATGGGTTCAGAACTACAGCAGAGCAGATTTAGATTAAATCTCAGGATACACCTCCTACCTGTCAGGACAGGAGGACAATGGAACAGATGCCAACAAAGGTTGTGGAAGCTCCTTTGCTGGAAGCTTTCAAAAGGAGGCTGGAGCCGTCTGTCTGGGGTGGTTTAGATACAACAAATCCTGCACCTTGCCCGGGCGTTGGATGAGATGACCCTGGCGGTCCCTCCTAACCCCACGGTTCTGTGACCTAGGCAGAGGCACCTCGAGGTACTGCAGGGTTAGGGCCAGGTCAAATTATCAGCTGCAGCAGGAGTGAAGCCCTGTCCTGGGGTGGCCCTCTGAAGGGACAGGCACCTGTGTCAGGTTCTGCTAAGGAGAACAAGCCAAGCCAGACCCACCTGTGGATGGCTGATTGGATAAGTAGCTGGCAGCCAGCTCAGGAACACCTGGGCCTCAAAGAGTTAGGATGGTTCAGGCCGGAGCCTAGAACAGAGAAAGGAAACTACGAGGAGCTAGGTAAGCAGCTACTCCCAGGGGCTCCCGGGGAAAGGAACAGCCCCAGCACACAGATGGGATGCTTCAGAGGACAGCACGACAGAGCTCTCCAGGCTCACCTGAGGCCACAGGGGAGGGTCTGCAGAGCCCAGGGAGCGGAGAAGCCTAGGGACTGACAGCAGAAAGAGAAGGCGTTTCCCTACCACGTCTGGCAGTTAATACAATAAACTAGAGCCCTTGTATATATTGTTCACTGTGTACAAGCCTCACTGAGCTTACTAAAAGTTCACTAGGGGAAACTGAGGCAGAGATGTAACTCTGGTTCCACACTGGATGCCAGGGAGCCCTCCAGCAGGGAGTGTTCACCGTTACAACATGTTCTAGGAGTGGGACCCAAGACCCACTCCCAGCGAGGCCGATGACGATGCAGAGCGATGCTTACAACTGTCTGAAGCGCGAGATGGCCGATATCCCCGATCGGCACATGGAGCAATGACAACTCTGGCTGGGCGGAAAGCCCAGCCGCCATGACAGCAACCAGAGAGGCTCAGCCATTGCACACAGAAAAGGAACAGGTGTCAGATGGTCCCGCCAAATGGGGGCGGGTACTGTGGGCAGGTCTGCCCGTGGGTGTCAGAGACAATGGGGATTACTAGCTGGCATAGAGCACTAGGCACCTGGGAGGACACTGGGTCTCAGATACCAGAGACCACAATGGCTGATAAAGCCGAACCAAGGACTGAGGAGAAACAGTTTGGGGCCGAGAAGCGTGAAGTCCCAGGGGTAATGTGCTGCAAGCGTGATGAGCTGGGGCACGTCAAGAGACTCATGGGAGCCCCAGACAGATGGCGCATCACTAGGGGGGTGACTGGGCATCCTGCAGTATACTGGTCAAGGCAGCAGCTTCGCTAAGGGGTTTACCCCTTCCCCCATTTATCAGGGTATGGGGATGTCTCCTTCAGCCTCAGGGCATGAGGCTTGGAAAGGCCGACGGGGTTAACACAGAGTCGAAAACACTTACATTAGAAGAGGGGCCTGTTACTGGAGGGGAGAGAAAGCAGGGTCCCTGGATTGAGGAAACTCACGGTCCCAGGGTTCCCAGGAAATGTAAGTGATAAGAACATTGGTAAGGGAAGCAAAGGGACATGAGGAGAAATCTATGGCTGGCAGAGTTAAGAACAGTAAGAAGGATTTTTAAAAAGTATATTCAGAACAAAAAAAACCCTAACAGTGGTATTGGTCCATTACTAGATGGAAATGGTAGAATTATCAATACTAGCAATGCAGAATACAGAAAAGGCAGAAGTATTCAATAAATATTTGTTTATATTTGGTAAAAACGATATCCTCATATAATAACACTTTCCATTGCACTAGTATCTCAGGAGGACATTAAACAGCACCTGCTAAAGTTAGACGACTTCTTTAAATCAGCAGGTCTGAAGAACTTGCATCAAGAGTTTTAAAAGAGCTGGCTGAGGAACTCACTGGACCGTTAATGTTGATTTTTCAATAAGTCTTGGAAC